GCCATCCCTCTGGCTCCTGAGCTATTACCTGGGGCCCTGAAAAAGCAAGTGGCCCTGGGACATTTGACCCCTTGAAAATGCTAAATCTCTGAAGCACCAGCACCATTTTCCTCACACCAGGAGGATGGCAGAGCTGTAGGCAGGATGGAAAACAACCGGCTGGCATGAGGTACTCGGGAGCCAGTCAGAAATTACAGGATGATGTGTCAGGATCCAGGAAAAGATGGGTGTGATGATCATGTCATTCTTTCTCCTTGGCACAGAAAGAACACACCTGAGTCTCCAGCCCCCATCCTGGAGGCCCAGAGAGGGGAAGAGACCTGCCCAAAGGCATACAGCAAGAATGGCTGATGTTTCCAAGAACAGGTTCTTTAAGGAGGAAAAAGAAAGAAGCTGGAAAAATGTAAACATCAGAAGCAATGATAAATGGAAATAACTCATCCAGTGAAACATCACTTGGTCTTGACAGAGCTGCTCACCATAGAAAGCAGATGTCCCATCCCTAACCCCTACCTGGCCAATAGATCTCCCTTCTTTCCCGGCTCTGAATCTTACGGAGGCAAAACGCTAGCTACAAAGTGACTGACTTTGGAAATAGACTTTGTGAGTCAGTTTCTGCTCTCTAACCACTAGACCAAGCTCCTCAAGACTAGGATTTTACTACATCTATGACAAGCTGGCAAGAGAGGTCGACCTTGCATCAAAGATAAATAGGCATTTTGTGGATCAGTGATCAATTGCATGAAATAAAAGACAAAGTAATTCATAATTAATTCAGCATGTTTTAAGCTTGGATCAATGCTCAGATGCACTATCCCTTTTAATCCTCATAGCAAACCAATGAGTAAAAACGTTTATTCTACGTTTTCCGGAGCTAAGGGACAGAGATGATAAGCAACTGGAAATGGAGTTTTGACAACGTTAGGAGACTTGCCCATTGGGCAGAGCCAGGATTCGAAGCCAAGTTGCCCTGGTTTCCTCTGTCCTCTGCCCTTGTCTTCCCAAACCCCACACTCTACTCTAGCATTTTTCACGTGGTCAAGACATAATCACCTCTCTTCTTTTACCAACACAACAGCTCTGTGGGGGCGTTGGCAGAATATTTGTCACAGTAACAAAAAACAACAGATTTGGAGGTAGACAACCCATGTGACCTTGAGGAGGTCACATTCTGTATGTGGACCTCAGTCTTCCTCATCCATAGCATGGAGGTAATATGAGCATCTACCTGACAAATTTGCTGTAAAGATGAAATGAGATAATGTGAGTGAAAAGCACTTTGTATAAACTGCTAAGTGACATTCAGTGAAAAGTGAATAAGGTCACAGAGAATGACAGAGATGGTAAAGGACAAGCAAAAAGCTAACCCAATGAGCTGGGTCTACAGTCAAACCATTACTTGGTTCATAGCAAGTAATAACAGTATATATCTACATAGGGCCTAAAGTTTTATAGCATATATAGAGTTTTTCAGAACACAGTTCTCTTCAAACCAATAACCAATAGCCCTGGTTTGAATCTTTTTCTTCTTTATTCAATATAGCCATTTACAGTTGTCAGGCTATCGTATACACGTCAGGGAAGTTGCAGCAGCCTAAGTTAGAAACTAGACCTACTTCTGATGACACTCTTCTGAAGTAGGTGCTGTGTAGTTATGGAAACTGAGGCACGAGGATCCCTAGCACCTGCTCCATAGCCAGTAAGTGGAGGAGCTGAGTTTGAACCTTGATCTGATCTGCCTCTCAGCCCCACTAAGAACTCGGCTGTCCCAGAGAGCTTCAACCTCATGGCTCCCTAAGCAGATACGAGGGCCTGGACTGACCCACTTGGGAAAGAGCAATGTTCAGCCTGGAGGAGGGAGGTTGAAAACTCCTTCCCTGCTCGGAAGGGCCGCCCCAGCGACGAGGACTTAGCCTTCCCACGTCTCCAGGGCTCACCTCAGACGACTTTCTCTGCCTCTGTGAACAGCTCCTCATGCTGCTCTGAGTCAGACCTCTTGTTTCTTTCTCATTTTTCTCTCCAACATATTTTCCTACAGTGCTTTTTCTGGACTTCTTCTTTCTTTAAATGCTCAATTCACCCCACAGGACCCTGCCCTCTCCTTTCTCCCCATCCCCACTTCTCGGTTTTTCTCTCAGCCTCTGACTTATTCCTGAGTTAACTGGAAAGGGTGGCCCAGTCCCACTCCTGCATGCATCGTCCCTCCCTCTCCTTGGACAATGGGGCAGCTTTGGTTTGGGGAGTGGGCTCTTGAGTCTGACCCTCTGAGTCTAAATCCTCTGCTCTTAGGATCTATGTGACCCTAGACAAACAGCCTGGCCTTTATATAAGTCTCAAAGGACCCGTCTCATAGAACCACCACGAAATCAGATTAGAGGAGCTAACGCTTGACAAGGGCATGTTGCATGAGGCCTATTATCAATGTGCCTTTATGCACATCTGATTCAATCACCGGTGTTACCATTCTCCCATCCCTCCTCCAATATCTGGGGAAACATTCCTTTTCTTCTTAAGCCAAATCCTCCATTTCCTCATTCCTTCCAACCTTCCACAGGAACCTAGTCCCAGAGCCGCTCTTCCTCTCCACAGCACCATGTTCTTCCTCTCTACCCCACACCCACTCCTCCTCTTGGACCTTCACCTTAATTACAAATGCCACCGCCGCCAGTGGCAAACTTGACACCCTGTCTTTTTCCTTTGTCATTACCCCCTCCTTCCTAGTCACCAAGGCCCATGATTCCTCCCATTCTGCCTCCCAAGCTCTAGCTCTCCTTGCATGTCTCACCATCCTCCTTGCTGTCAACCACACTCCCTTTGTCACCACACCTCTCCTTTCCAATCCTTCCCATTTCCTCCCTGTGTTCTCCATCTTTGGAGAGCCCGTTCCCCTCCCTGCACATCAGGTAGCATTCATCCTTCAAAGCATGACTTATTCAGACATCTCTCATTGTTTCCAGTCTGTTCTCAATTCTCATAGTCTGCCCGGTTTTCAAATGTTATTATCATACATTTATGCCTTCTCCCTGAGTTACAAGCACCTCAAGTACATATCTCATATGTCTACATATGCCCCTACAATGCTTACAGAGTACCAAATACAGAAAAGGCCTTCAGAAACTATGCATTGATTGATTGATACAGGATCAGTGTACAAGCTTTAGGAAAAAGGAGATATCTTAGTTAAGATTTATATTAGCTAACATTTACTCCATCCTTACTATGTGCTAGGCAACGAAGTTGGTGCTGGAAAAACAATAAGATGAAAGAATGGTACCTACCACCGTGCCAAACATTTTACATGCATTGTTCATTAATCTTTAAAATATCTCTATATGATTAGTACTGTCATTATACCCATTTTCCAGAAGGGGTTAAGTGACTTGCCCATTGTCACACCAGAAATGAATGTCAGAGAGGGGAGCATTTCTATTTGTCAGTGAATTCAACTTAATATTGATTAATGCCTCCCGTCTCCTTTATGGTTTTTCCAAACTTACCCAAGGCCTACAGAGTCCTAAAAGTGATTGCAGAGACTTCAAGAAGTCAGATGAGTGCGTAGTCCAAGGCTTTCTCAGCCCACTGCCTGCAGATCAGGACATGCCTTAAATTCAGTACAAACCACAACAAAGAGTGCTAACTATACTTAGAAGCCATTGAGACCTCAGAGATTCTTTGTAAGGATCAAAGTTAGTGTTCTGAAAGTCAAAGTTGCATTTTGCCTTAAACAATAACAAAAAGCACAATAAAGCTTTCATTACTATCGAACTGAAATACTCTAAAGAATGCTCTGTATATCAAAGTTTTAACGAGCTGTGCTAATCAGAACAAGGAGGAATCAAGGCCACAGTGCCTTTTACTTTTAAGGGCCTATGCTTGCGTCTATGGGCTATGGAATGATAAATTAAATACTACTCTTGTTTTCTCAAGTTTACAGTCTAGTAGCTGGACACTTGAGTTGAGTGTAATAATAGAAATAATCAGGCAGTCCTATTTATTAAAACAATTAGCCCTGTGAAGGGAAACATAAATAGAGGCCCAGATATTCCACTAAATCATGCAAACAGCCAGAATTTGAACCTTGACTAAACATTTTTATTTATTCGCTTATTCAACAAGTATTTCTTGAATTCCTACTACGTTCCAGCCATTCTTCCAGGCTCCGGGGATAGACTGGTGAAGAAGGCAAGCAAATCCCCTTCCCTCTTGGGTCTTACATTCTGGTGGAGGAGGAAGATAAGAAATATTAATTAATGAGTATGGAAAACAATGTAGCAGTGATGAGACTATGGCAAAAAAGCAGCAGAGTATGGGGTCAGAAAATAGCCAATAGAGGAAGTCGGGGCTTGAGGTCTGGCGGTCCAGGATGACCTCACTGGGAGGTGGTATGTGAGAGAGACCTGAGCGAGGAGAGGGAGTGTGCCGTGTGGGGCTCTGAGCTCAGAGCATCCCAGGGGAAGGTGAGAGCTGGTGCAGAGGCCCCGAAGCAGGAATAAGCTCGGCGTCTTTGGGGAAAGGCCAGTGTGACCGGAAAGACGTAAGAAGGGGAGGGAAATTAGGCTGAAGAAGCAGAAGGGACAGATCATTGGGCTCTTAGGAGTCTCTACCTTCTTCTGCATGTTTTGGGAAATGATTGCAGGGTTCGGAGCAGAGGAATGACATCTGTGATCTACACTTTTAAAAGACTACCGTCTAACTGATTGTTATATAGAGCTGCCCTTGACAGACCAGGGATTTTCTCAAATAACTGGAGATTGGTGGCTTGTCATGGGTCATCTGGGATGATTTCATTAAGAGGTGAACGTGGATCCCCGTGAAGAGAAGACAGTTTGGCTCACAGGAAGAAGGAGGCATCCCTGGTGACGGGAAATGCATATGTAGTGATGCAGACAGAAGTCAGTAAGTTGTGTAAGTTAGCATTTCCCAAAGTCGCTCGTTAACACTAGTTTCAAGCTGTGTGAATAAGTGTTACACAATAAAAAGTCAGGTCAGCATGAGAAATGCTCTGTTCATAAAAGGTAACCATGCCTCTTTCCTGGAGGCCTTCTCAGAATCTTTGGGGTGCTCATTTACACCTGGTCTTTTCCAGACGGGGCTGAAGCTGGCAGGGTTCCCCAACCTTATTCAACCGCAGAACTCTTCACATAAAACATACATTGGAAAACTCCAGTGTGACAACTTCAGCTTAAAACCAGCTAAGACCTATTTGGAGATGAAAACAGGGATGTATTGAGTAATAGAACTTGAAGCCAGAGAGCGGGCATTTTGGGTTAATAAGAGGCCAATGTAAACCTATCAGAGTTTAATAAAGTTTATAACAAATAAAACAACCTGAGAAGGTCACTCTTGCTGTCCTGTTTAGACCTGCAGGATAGAGCAAAAGTCTCCAAACATTCCAGGGACTTTGCAAGATGACCCACGGGAGTGTAATGAGACAATATTATGACGTCTGCTTATATTTATGTTGTTCCAAAAAATCATGAAGAAATCAATACTCTGCTATTTAATACATAGATTGAAAGTGGCACTTGTATATGATTGATAGATACACACACTGAGCTTGGATCTTCAAGAATGTTATGGATAGGAATGCATGATTATGAAAAGTTTGGAGGTGAGGTGACCCAGAGAAGGAGGTATCTAGTGCTTGCACCAAGCCGTGTTGTGGAAATGAAGAGGAAGGAATAAAATCAGGAACTTGCAGGGAGTGGCCATGTGGGAGGAGAGGGTGCTGAGGAGCTGGAGGTGGTCAGCAGCAGCAACTAGGACAATAGGGGTGTGGAGTGGAGGCTAGGAGCTCAGAGACAGTTGAAGTTTGTGTTGGGGAAATTGAGAAGGAATTGAACAAGAGGGTCAAGCCATCACTATGCACCCACATTACAGCCCTAATTGTAGCACTTAGCCCACTGTCCAGGACATAATAAGTGTTTAATAAATGTTGGCAAGATGAATGAATGAGTGAGTGAATGAATCAAGGAATGAGTAAATGTGGAGCGCTCAGCAAAAGAATATAGAGTAGGAAAATTTGGGCAAAATGAAAATAATCTTCCAGATCAAGATTCCACAAAATGCCAGTTCCTAAAGATAAGAAAAAAAAATCATAACATCTGATATTTGTTCATTTGTTCTTTATTTTATTTATTTATTTTTTTTGCTGAGGAAGATTAGCCCTGAGCTAACATCTGTTGCCAATCTTCCTCTTCTTATCTTTATTATTTTGCTTGAGGAAGATTGTCCCTAAGCTAATATCTATGGCAATCTTCCTCTATTTTGTATGTGGGACACTGCCACAGCATGGCTGGATGAGTGATGTGTAGGTCTGTACCTGGGATCCAAACCCGCAAATCCCAGGCCGCTGAAGCAGAGTGCACAAACTTAACCACTACACCACTGCACTGGGATGGCCCCCTTTGTCCATATTCTTTCTTTCTTTTTTGGTGAGGAAGATTGGCACTGAGCTATCATCTGTTACCAATCTTCCTCTTTTGGCTTGAGGAAGATTGTCCCTGAGGTATCATCCGTGCCAATCTGCCTCTACTTTTTATGTGGGATGCCACCACAGCATGGTTTGATGAGTAGTGTATAGGTCTGCTCCCAGGATCCAAACCTGCAAACCCTGGGCTACTGAAGCAGAGCACACAAACTTAACCACTATGCCACTGGGCCAGCCCCTCATATTCTGAATTAGTTCCCCAGACTTAATATCTGAAAGTTGAATTATTGAGTCATTTCAAATGAATTTCATATTCATTGTCAAATTGTCCTCTGGTAATTTTGAATGAGATTTCATAACTTATGTGAACTCTTCAGTTTAAACTGCACTTTCATATATTCAGACCTTACTTGATTTCTGCAGGAACCCCATGAGCAGGCCTCATTGTCCCTATTTCATAGGTGAAAAGAATTCCAAAGCAGCTATGAGTCTTCCTCAAGGTTACATTCACACTGAGCTACCATGAGGGCTCTTTCCACTCATGGGATGAAATGCCAACACGTCAAGAAAAATACCAGTACCCTGATCCGTACGTTCCTCTTCAACAGCAAAATACATGGGCTCAAGTTTCTGATGGGGGTGTTTCAACATTAAACAATAGTGAGATATTGCCTGTTTGACATTGAATTCTCTTTCCTTGTGGAGAAGGTTCCCTGACATCTTGCCAAGTAACTAACTTTGCTCTTGAGTAAGTCCTTTTGTTAAAATACGGTTGCTTATAACTGGAGCCCGGCTGCCAGCACTGTCTATGGTGTTTGGATACTCTTATAACTGGAGCCCGGCTGCCAGCACTGTCTATGGTGTTTGGATACTCTTATAACTGGAGCCCGGCTGCCAGCACTGTCTATGGTGTTTGGATACTCTTATAACTGGAGCCCGGCTGCCAGCACTGTCTATGGTGTTTGGAGTCTTATAACTGGAGCCCGGCTGCCAGCACTGTCTATGGTGTTTGGATATTCTTGCTTGCCTTTAAACGGAAAGAGGATCGGAGAAATCCAGAGCTCGAAAGAGCCTTGTAGATCATTTCAATTCTACCCTAGCTAGTGGAGATAAGGAAACTTGTGTGTCTAATGGGAAGTGGCTTACCCAAGGTCACACAGTCAGTGAATAGCAGAGAGAGGATGAGAGGAGGAAGTCTCCAGACCTCCAGCCAGGAGTCTATCCACGTAATTTTTGCATTTGGAGAAACTGAGGCCCAGAAGGGCGAAGCAACTTACTCCTTGACACACGGGTAATTAACAGTAGAGCTGGGTGAGAGCCCAGGTGTCTTGACTCCCCCTTAGGAGCCCAGCCCCAGACTCTACTTTAGCCCACCAGAATCCATGCCAAAAAGCTGGGACCAGGGTGGGCTGAGTGAGGCGCTCACTTCAAGTGCAAATTTCAAGAGGATGTCAAGATAAATAATATTTCCATGCTATATTTTTTAAAATCAAAATTAATAGAAAGCATCCATAAAGAACAAAATATCCAAATTTTAAAGAAAGATGGGATCCAACCCTTCATTGACATGATTCACCTCACTCACCTCACCCTAGTCCCAGCCCTGTCTGGGGACCTCCATTGCCTGGACCTGAGGAGACCTTATAAGTAAGACTCCAGTGATGGGACAGATTACTCACAAAGAGCTACAGGCCTATGACTAATGGGACCAATCACTTGGACAGAAGAGCCCTCTAACTGGAGCCATGGAGATATGGCAACTAAAGAAATTGTTTATGGACCTAAAGTTGTTAATAACTCAAGTTCTCATGATACCAGCTTCAGCCATTGAAAATTAATCATTTAGAATCTGGGTAAAGTTCGGTGCTTAGTTTCACGAAATCATCTGTTCAAGCACTGGGTGTGATGAACTGGTTAGTCAACTAATATGAAAGAAATCTGGGCCTCTTAATTAACCACAAGCTTAACATGAGCCCATGATGGGAGGTGACTGCCAGAAACACAAATGGAATCTTGGGCTGTACTCATGGGCTCGTGGTATTCAGGAACTGTGAGCCTAATTCCACAGGAAGTCAGAGCCAAGAGAACATATTCTGGCCTCTCTGTAGGGAAGGCGTGAGGTTGCTATTTGAGGCTGGAAGAGTGCTTGTTATGGGTTGAATTTTGTCCCCCTAAAAGAAATTGAAGTCCTAACCCCCAATACTTATTCGGAAACAGGGTCTTTGCAGATGATCAAGTTAAGGTGAGGTCATTAGGGTGGGCCCTAATCCAATATGACTGTATCCTCACAAAAAGGGGAATTTTGGACACAAGAAGAGAAACACACACAGGGAGAAAGCCAGGTGAAGACGAAGGCGGAGATGGGGTGAAGTATCCACAAGCCAAGGAAATCAAATATGGCCAGAAAACCCCCAGGAGCTAGGAGAGGGGCATGGGACACATTCTCCCTCACAAGGAACCAACCTAGCCAATGCTTTGATTTTGGACTTCTAACCTCCAGATCTGTGAGACAATGAATTTTTGTTATTTTTAAGCCACCCAGTTTACAGCAACCCTAGGGAATTAATAGAGCATTTGGCCCAGAAGCACTCTCATGCCTGAAAGAAGCAGGGAAAACCCATCCATTCGGATTCTCATAGACAAAGGCATTCCCGTGCCTATCACATGGCCTGGCTCAGAGGAAGCATGCAGTGACTATTCCTTAAGAAAGAAACAAATTTCAAAGCAATCCACTACTGTTAGAGGAAAAAGAAGAGGTTGACACACCAGGTTACTTTCCTTCAACTTCTCACTCATACTAAGCATGAGTTGTTTTAACCTCATTCTATTTTCAGGGGATGAATCATAGGATGTCAGATATAGACAGCATCATAGAGATTACGGAGTTTAACACTGCACTCTACAGATGAGGAAAATAAGGATTTGATGAGGAACAGGACTAGCTCTTTCCAAATGCATGACTCCCTCCCTTACAGGAGAACCCTTTTCCTTTTTTCTCTCATATGTTAACATATCCCCTAGTCCTTTGCTGTTATCTACAGCTTAAAACTTAAATGAGAAATTATTCAAGCTTACCGGAAGTCAGGAAAGGTATGATGCCCACTGGCGGTCCTTGTGAAGGAATAGCAGTATCTAATATTTATGGAGAATTTATTTTATGCCAGGCCCCATGCACAAAGCGCTTGACTGAATTATCTCATTTAAGGCTCACAGTAATGCTACTAGGTAGGTTTTATTTTATCCCTGACTTATTGGTGAGCAAAACAGGTTCAGAGAGGTAAAGCAATATCTGCCCAAGTGGTCGAGTTCAGATTTAAACCACCAGGTCTGATGGTTTCTGAAGCCCATGTTCTTAACACGCTCTGCCGTGCAGGGACCAGACAGGCTTGAGAGGCCAGAGGAAGCAGTGGAAAGAGGTCTGGGCCGGAACCAGGGAAGTTGGGTACCATCTATGCCCAGCCACCAATCTGCTTGGAAACTTAAGCCAGTTTCTTTACCTCCCTAGGCCTTAATTTCCTCATCTGCAAGTTGAAGTGGCTGCCCTAGATGATGGATATTGAAGTCTTTTCCTGGTGGACTATAGCTTTATTCACTCATTCCGCAAATATTTATTAAGTGCTCATTATGTGCCAGGCACCATGCCAGACACTGGGAATGTAACAATAACCAACATAAACAAAGGCCCTGCATTCATGGAGCTTGTATTTTAGGGGTGGTAGGGGTGGGGAATGCAGAATAAACATGAAAGTTTCCAGAAAAACATCAGCCTCATGAAGGAAATAGAGCAGGGTAAGAGACTGAGAGTGACAGGTGCAGGATGGTGGCTATTTCATATGGGGTGGTCTGAAGAGGGGACCTTTGAGCAAAGAACAGAAGGACTAGAAGGAAGGTGTAAGAAACAGCAAACGCAGGCCACGTGGAATTGGAACAAAAGGCCTTAATGCCTCAAGAGGGTCCACGGGTGGTAAGCGACTGTTGAAAATACCTCAAATGTAAATCAGATGCCTATGGAAGCTTTGTTTAAGCCTCTTCCCCCTTTGTCAGTAAATCTTTCATCATGAATCCAATTTCATGATGTAATTTTAGTACAACTTAGTAGCCCCAAAATTATGTAATTTGCTCAGGTTCGATTGTAACTACTAATTGTTCTAAGCTTAACTGAGTGACTCCCGGCCAGAGCAGCTTACAGGAAAGGAGTGGCAATATCTGAGTACACGTTATTGCTGTTATGTCAGCTGATTAGATTTTTTTTTAATTATCTATACTGAAAGATCTCACATGATCCAGAGGTCACTCACATGATATTTTTCACATGACCCAAGTTTATGTGTTAAAAGCTTCAAGAAGAAATGGTTTCTAAGGTCCGTGGATTCTGCCTCTAACATACCTCTGGCATCTGTTCCCTTCTCTCTGTGTCCACCACTGTTGCTCAGATCCAGGCCCCAACATCTTCCATCTCTGTCTCCACTCTTGCCCCTTTCCAATTTGTTCTCCGTGCTATGGCCAGGATGATATATCTAAAATGAAAATTGTATCGTGTCACTGTTCTCCTGAAAACCATCCAATGGCGGCGGTTACACCACTAACGTTGGTGGTGGTTACACAATCATGTGCGTTTGTCGAAATCCATAGAACTACATACCTAAAGAGAGCAACTTTTACTGTATGTGAACTGTACCTCAATAAGCCTGACTTTAATAATCTCCAGCGATAGTCATTGTTCTCCAGGTAAACATCTGACCTTTCGCGGGGTCCTGGTGTTACGTAGTGGTTAGATGTTCATCTTCAGCCTGGATCCAAAGCTTAGCTTCATAATGTCACTTGTTAACTGGGTAACCTTGACTGAGTCATCTACGTTCTCTTTACTCATTCTCCTTATTTGTCAAAATGAGATAATAATAGTACCTACCGCTTAGAGTTGTCAGGAAGATTAAATAAGTTAATTCTGATAAAGCACTTAGAACAGAGCCTGGTGAATAAGTGCTCATTAAACGTACAGTATTCCTAACAAGCCTTCTATTACTCTTCAAGATTGGATCCTGTATTAGTTTGGTCTGGCTGCCATAACAAAGACCACAGACTGGGCGGCTTAAACAACAGAAGTTTATTGTCTCACAGTTCTGGAGGCTGGAAGTCCAAGGTCAAGGTGTTGGCAAGGTTGGTTCCTTCTAAGGGCTGTGAGGGAGAATCTGTTCCATGCCCTTCTCCCAGCTTAAGGCGGTTTGCTGGCAATCTTTGGCATTCCTTGGCTTATAGATGCATCACTCCAATCTCTGCCTTCATCTTCAAGTGGCATTCTCCCTATGTGTGTGGGTCTGACTCCAAATTTCTCCCTTTTTATAAGGACACCAGTCATGTTGCAGGGGTCCCTTACTCCAGTATGACCTCATCTTAATTAGATCTGCAACAACCCCATTTCGAGATAAAGTCACATTGTGAGACACTGGGGTTAGATATTCAACATATAAATTTTGGGGAGACATAACTCAACCTATAACAGGCCCTGACATGTTCTCTTATCAACTCTGCCCATAAAATCTCTTCCAGCAACCTCTTACACCCAACAATTTGCTTGGCAAACTCCTACTCATCCCTCAGTTTCAGTTAGATCTTACTTTCCTGGAGTAGTCATCCCTAACATTTTGCCAACCCACCAATTAGATTAGGGGCCTTTCTCGTGTTCTTCCAGTGTCCCTGTACTTACACCTCCCACAACCCTTATTGCTTTGCACTATACTTGTCTGTTTACTGCCTATCTCCCCATGAGATTTCAAATACCCTATAGACAAGGATTGCTTAATATTGAGTATCAAAACCCAGATGGATCCTAAGTAAATATTTGTTGAATTACTTGTCTTCTTATATTCTGAGCATCACCTATTTTATGTTTCTTTAGATATTTAGAAGAAGAATGCTGCAAGAATTAGAAAGCAAAATTTTTTAAGCAGTGTATCACTTGGAGTTAGGTCAAAGATCAGAAACCATGCTAGATGTTTCAAATAAAAGTATTTAATACAGGGACTTGATTGTTGGAAGGATGTAAAAGTAAAAAGGAAATGCTGAGAAAATCTAGACATGAGTAACTGCAGGAAGCAGCCACTACCTCTAGGAATGAGAAACAGAAGGGAAATGGACAAGTTTACCAGAAACTAAGAGTTAGAGGAGGGTCCCACGCATGGCTGAGCTTAGATCTCAGAAAGGCAGAAACCATGTGGCTGTAGCTCAGATTTCTGAATTGGAGAATACAACAGCTGATACAGGATATGCTGAAAGTTGCTGGAGGCGGAGCCATGACTGTCCTCTACTGTCAGAGAGAAACATCAAGATACCCACCAAGGAACTCCAGGCAAGTAGTTTGCAGACTCCCAGCCCCAGCATCACAGAGCAGAGATAGGAAGGTGGGATAGGAGCTGAGAGGCAATACACACATAACCAGCACAAGCCAAGAACCTGAGGAAAGGTATATAGATTTCACACAATTAGGTAAGATCCCTGACAATTGGTTTCTAACCCTGCCACAGATTGACTATATCCCTGGGCAAGCAGCTTCTCTCTGAGCTTCAGGGTCCCCACCTGTGGCAGAGGGAAGGCACTAGATGATCTGTAAGGGCCTATCTGAGTATGAGCAAGGAGTTGCTGGGGATTTCTGAATGATGTTGTCTCTCTAGAGGATCCTATCCCAGGCTTTAGCCATCACATAAATATGACATTTCCTTTTTCCCCTTCTGCAGCTACTGTTTACATGCTCCAAAGAAAGCACAGGAAGGAAGCCAGGGCTATATTTCTCCAATATGGTGACTCTCTTAGACAAACTGACTTCCAAAATGAGTCATTGAGGGGAATGTTTCACATTCAGTTAAATGATCAAGTAACTGAAATGCAGGAGGTGGGGGAGGGAAGGGAGGAGCAAGTGGGGAGGAGGGGAGTGAAAAGAGCACGTTTTGTGTGCATACCGGCCCGAATCTACTACGTGTCTGACTCACGTCAGCAATATCATCTCCGCTCCTCTGGTCCTGGCCTTGCTCTGCCTCCCACGGCCTTGCTGGGAGGTAAATCATGGTGGCGGAAGACTCGGTTCGATCTCAGCGCAGCCACAGGCCAGCCAGGAGACCTACAGCAGGCCGTTTATTTTTCCTTACTTTCCTCACCTGCAATTCTGCCTGCCTCTCCAGACCATAAGGATCCAATGAGCTAATACGTGTGCAAGTGCTTTCTCCATCTGGGTGCTATTTACAAAAGTGCACTCATTTTATAAAAATGCGTTGGGCTGGCCTGGTGGTGCGGTGGTTAAGTTTGCACGTTCTGCTTCTCGGCGGCCTGGGGTTTGCCAGTTCGGATCCTGGGTGCGGACCTGGCACTGCTTGGCAAAAAGCCATGCTGTGGTAGGCGTCCCATGTATAAAGTAGAGGAAGATGGGCATGGATGTTAGCTCAGGGCGTCTTCCTCAGCAAAAGGAGGAGGATTGGCAGTAGTTAGTTCAGGGTTAATCTTCCTCAAAAAAAAAAAAATACATTAAGCATTAAAATGCATTTATAAAAATGTATTAAGTGTACTTAAGATTTTTGCACATACATGTATACTTTGTGCTTCGATTAAACAATTACCAAAAAAAGTAAAACTATAAGAAAGCAAAGTAAAAAGTGATCTAAATTTTTTTAGTTTATGAACTCATAGTAGTATCATGTGATAGGAAGTGACCTACTTAGATAACAGAGCCAAGAGTGTAAGTATATAAAGGAGAGCTAAGTACTCTAGATTTTACAGACATAGCTAAAATTCAGTAGGTAGATCCCTTACTTAATTCTAGCTTTGCAAAAGGAACACACATGTAGTGTAGAAAATTTGGGAAAGATAGCAAAGCACAGAGAAGAAAATAAAAATTAACCATAATTTCACCCTCACAAGCACAAAATTAAAATTTCTCTGTGAATTACATGCTACTGGACTATGAGAGACTGACTGGTGAAAATGCTCCTTATTCTTTTTTTTCTTTTCTACTTCTTGACAGGCTCAGAAATTGAAAATTCTTATAAGCCAGGTGGGGGTAGCAATGCAAGGCCTACAGAAACCAGGAAGGCAGTATAACCAGTGAACAGCTGGAATGAGCCACTGCAGGTGCAATGATAAATGACAGCTGACCACTCGCCTGAAAGACAGGGACATTAGGGAGTGGTGGAGACTGTGGCAAATGGTGGAGACTGTGGCAAATTCAAGACCACGTGCCCAAAGGGCTCTTTAGCTCCAACCCATTATTCCACATTTTCAGTGTGACTGGACCACTGATATTTTTAAGAGAAATTGGGCATCTGGAATTTTATGTGAATGTCCCCAATTTCTTAAATACTAGTGCTTAATTAATTTTTTAACTCTCTAGGCCAAATCAAAGATATCGGTAGGCCAGCTGTGGCTTGTGGCTGCCAATTTGCAACCCCAGTTAAAGGCAAAGAGGGTAGGGGAGGGTTCATTGAAGGTCTCAGGCAGGAAAGTAATGGGAATAGATTTGTAGGTCAGAAAATTCCTGAGGCACCTGGTGTGAGGGAGGGACTGGAGAGGGGAGAAACTGGAGGTGGCGGAAAGATAATATTCCAGGTCCTATTCACTGCCTTAACTGGGACAGTGGAGAGGGAAGCTGGAGAGGAGAGGTTAGGAAAGAAGAGGGTGCAGCCATGGGAGAAGTGATGCAGCGTGGGGCTGGGAGCCCCAAGAGGGGTGCCAATGTTGCAGTTTTGCCTAGAGCCCTAAAAACTCACTCTTCAAGTCTGAGGAGGGAAATGTCTTGTTTGATAACAGACAACTGCAGAGGAGGAACTGCTTCGTATTAGAGATACCTCCTCCCAAAATAGCAAAACTAAATAAGCCACTGATTTCAGAGCTTGAGGGCAGAGCCCCAATGGTAGCTGGGAGGAAAAGGCTTGCCAGCTGAGCAGCCTTGAGCAGAGGTCAAGGGAAGGGAAGAACAGCGAAGTCAGAACCAAGTCCTATGCCCTGAAGGGACTGGGGATACTCAGTCTGAAGAAGAAAAGGTACAAGGAAAATGGGAGTTGGCTAGCTCGCTTGCAAAAAGTATTTATTGAGCATCTACATGTGGTGTGGTTCCAGCTGGTGCTAGGTTTGGGGGATACAGTGACAAGCAAAAGTAGGTAGAATCTATGTTGTCCCTGCCCTGAGGGAGTCTTCCGGGAAAGATCAAATGATCTCACCAATAAATGCAAAGGGGCAAAACTAAGATAAGGGTTGGGAAGGAGGCGGGCACTGTGTTCTGAGGGCGTGGCCCAGAGGGTGGGGACCAGACTTTCAGAGGAAATAATGATTCAGCTGAGAGCTAAGAGATGAGTAAGCGCTCTTGAGGTAAACAGGGGAAAGGAAAGGCTTTTAGGCATCAGGAGCAGCACGTGCAAATACCTGACTCACAGGAAGAATTGAGAAGGCCAGTGTGATGGGAGCACGCCATGGGGCGGAGGGGAGGGGGAAGTGTTGTCTTTAAAGGCTCTGTTGGTTGGATGGAGGAGGGACCAGG